GATATGTAAGCAGTAGCCCACTTATCACTACCCAACCCGCTCAGTGCAATTGGCGGCGCGGCCCTGATTATCGTGCGCGACGACCGATGCAGTATGGAACTATTTTTTGTTTGTGTATGCATTGGGGTTTAGTGGACGGGTAGTGCTAGGATGTCCAGCCACTAAGCAGGAGAACGATTAGGGTTCTCGTCCAAAGCCTTTAGTTCTAACAAAAACCTAACCGCAAGGCAGCGGGTGAGGCGAAGTGGAGGCCCATTTACTTGAATGGATTACTCCTCCACCGCTTTTTATCGACTGAAACGCCAATTCCAGGTGAACTCCCAACCTGGAGGACCAGGAGACTGAACTTCGTCTGACCTCTACACATTGATCTTCCAGGAATGATAATATCTAGCCTTATAAAGCCATCCTATGTGGTTCGTTGGGTCACAGAGGTGAACAAGCCACCACACCACGTCAAGGTGTAGTCTCGTCGTGACGGACTCGCATACAGAAGGCTTGGTTGACAGTTGCCAACTTGTGACATCAGTGGCACCGTCGAGATATCCGGCTGTCTGTGAAAGTCAGCCAGTTCTGCTATATGGAGCAGAAACTTGGCCATTAAGGAAATAGAATAAACATAATTGTCTGCGCAACATTGGACGAATATGATGAGGCTACCGGAAGAGCAATGCTGAGGTTAGGCGCAGAGTTTTGGTTAATTGCAGTCGCCCACTGAGGCAAGTGGTTGACCTCCATAGAGTATGCTGGTTGGGGGCATGTGTCACGCATGTCATCAGATAGGTTGCCACGGTGCTCGATGTTTTGCCGAGGTAGGCAGCGGATGGAAAAAGGTCAAGGGCGGTCAAACAGACTTGGCATGAGGGTACGAAAACTGACCAGGATACTTGGTCACCTGGGTCTCGTTAAACTCCTTGAATGAGGACCCCGTGATTATGGTATCCGGTTGTCAGAGACACTGAGTGATATTCCATTTCGCCTGTTCGCCGAGCTTGGCAATTTGTTTGCAAACGTTTCATCACTGAGTTATATGGCTGAGTGTCACAAACAGTGGCGCTTGTGCATCTACTCATTATCCTTGCAACTTCAGTCTATATGAATTCTCCGTCCTCTGCTTGATTTTTCTCTCAACACTCCAATCTTCACTCCGCTCTTTTATCCAAATCGGCAACCAAAGGACAGGAATCAAGACGGACGCATGGTAATGCCTGGTTAATAGTTGGAACAACTGAACTGAACAGATTTTTCCAAGCGATGTAATTTACAGTAAACATTATCTTTTAGCATTTGTTTTTCGAAATTCTTGAGTGTTATTCATCAGTGGCTATCAGTGCACACAAATTACGCGAGAGGAAATAATAACACCGTGATTTTTTCTTGCGAGTGTTTCATCCCATCGATATTTCTAGCGTCACTTTGGTTTTGTGCAAAGAGTTTTGTCTCTGGCTGCTACATGGCTGCGCACGTTGTTTAACACATCTGCGTCTTCGTTGATCAAACCCAGTTCATCAGGTTATTTTGACCCAATCTCATCGTCGTATGCTTGTTTAGAATTCAGACAGTGGTACGTCTTCGGTTCGCTGGGTGGTTGCTGTTTTGTCCCATACTCAGAATAAGCCTGCTTTCGAAATAATTTCCAGCTGGTGATCACTGTCCCATACAAGTAGGTCCGAGGTTCAAACCCCGTCATCGACATCACCACCCAACCTTTCTGGTAGACAGCTTTGCTGTCGTCCGGTGCAATACCACGCCTGACCTAGTGGGGCCTTACGTTGTTTACCATTTCAAGTCCTAGGGCTTTGGTTGCCGGTTGCCGTCGCTGAACAGTGGGTCTTAGCGACTATGGGGTCAACCCCGTTTGCTGTTTATTACATAGGGGTGTGATAAATAAAAATTGGCACAAAAAAACAGCAGCTATCAAGTCCACGCGAGTAAAGGAACAATTGACGGGAAAGTGTACGCGCTGTCATAAGTGATATGAAATTAAAGAATTTCTCCAGATGTTGAATCGGAGATCAACAGAAAGTAAAAAGAAGATAAATTTACCCCACTGGTTTATTCGAACCGCGCTGCCTCAACCATCCCATAGTGAGGATGATTCCTAAACTGAATGCACATTCACAGCACTCTCACACGCAATCTGATAACGACATTAGTCCTGCCTTGTTTATTGAATACATACAATAAACCAGTCAGTTCAGTTCAATAAGGGGGCTGTGGCCGATCAAAGTTTGCCCGAGGAGTGAGGACTGGCAATGGGAGTCGAACACAGATTACCTTCAGGTCAATATGATAGTCGTATCGCTAGCTGTTTGATAAACATCGCGCCGCGTTGTTGTTATTCGAGCAATATAGTCGGAAAAAACACTGTCTAATGGACCACATGCAACATGATGGTTATGCATACTATGTTGTCGGTTTGCTACAATTCATTCAAACAATCTAGCAGTTGTACTACACAGTGAATTCTACAAGAAATTTCACTGTTTGATTGGGAAACGATGCGGTGAAACTCACACTGACATTTACACGATTTCTCCTTTTTCATTAAGTCGTGGATCCCAGCCGACATAGTAGGCAATATATGTTGTGAGCCGGACTCCTGGTTTTCTATCAATTGTGACTTTTGTCCCATTTCGGCATTCGTCAATTTTAATCCATTCCATTTCTTTCAACACTGTTGCGCACCAGGATTCGCTTCAACCTGTCACACAGAACGGCACATGCACGAACTCCACTACCATACCGAGCACTGTTACTTCACTCAATCCATCGCCACTCTCCCTTGGAGTGACATCAGAACGTCCGAAAGGTACACGCCCTGGTGCAACTGGAGCTTGTCGACGACCTGCCGTCCCACAGCGTGCCCCATCCACTCGATTGTCTAGTGTGCCGGTTACTTGCAACGGGCTCGAAGAATTTCGGCCCCGATCAGTGGCCGTGGACTCTTTGGTCCTGCTACAAGAGTCCCGAGGTTCTGCGGAATCGTTACCAAATCCTCACATAAAAGTATGTTATTCCCGTATGGTCATATACATGCCCTGTCGAGGGTGTTGCCCAGTCTTGTTTTCCAGAACAACCATTTAATTTTGTTGCTCGCTTGCCCCAATTAGGAATACATTCATCCTGTCACCGCAATGCGTCAGCGCTCTACGGAGTTTGGTTAGATCGTTGTGTGCGTCCCCCAAAGCTTATGGGGTATGTGTCTGTGTATGTGTGAGGNGGAGGGGGGGGGGGGTAATCAAATCTATTTGTCTTATTATTGTTGATCTCACTGACTGAAGCATCACATTTTTTTCTGTTATACACTTTCGTGTGATGAACATAGTCACGAGGACCTGCTGTTCAGTGATGGAAACCGGTAACCTAATCCCCGGGACTTGGAATGGTGAACCACATAAGGGCCCGATAGGTTAGGCGTGGTATTGAACCGGACGACAGCAAAGCCGCCTACCACCAAAGTTGGGTGGCGATTGCGAGGCTCGAACCATGGGATCCAAAACACGCCGGTGACAGTGATTAAACCACTGCGCCACCACCACCCACATTGGTTGGGAGGACCGCACTTATGGTAATTCAACGATGTCTGACTGCGGTTTCAACCCCCTTTAGGAATCCAAAGTTTCAACTGAAGTCAGCTGAAAGCTTCCTAATGAACAACATACAGTTCATAAATCGCACTAGCATAAGTATGTTTTCCTCG